ATATATTCATATATATTATCTATTTTAAGTATATATTTAGGGGTGAGATTTCTATTAAAAAAATGAAAAAAAAAATGTGGATCTAGCTACAGCTAAAGACAACAAAACCCCAAATAATTGAAAAATATGCAGAAAAAAGAAGGCAGACAAATTTTATAGCCATTGAAATGCACTGTAGAATTACCTTTCTACAGTAAACTAGTATATTCAGAAAACTTTTTGGAAACTAGCTTCCACTCCCTTTAACTTGTGCTTTTTACATGGTTACATGTTTTCATTTTTAGAACACCTCCAAGTTCTAGGGCTACATTCAGAAGCAAACGTTAGCAATAAGCAACCCCTAACTTCACTAGGTTTCACAAGAACCATGTGGAAGACAAATTCTGGAAAGAGCTTTAGTGCTTCCCTCAGAAAGAGACAACCAGAGAGAGGGCAAAGGAAGCTATATGAACTCCTCACCTCTTTTTCCCCATGGAAAAAATGGTACCTCACAAAGATGCAGCATATCTCTACTTTTCCTAATTTTTAACACAGAGCTGTGGCATAAAAACATAATCAGATACTGAAGGACATTTGTTTTACTAATTTTTCTTTATGTGAGGCTGCATAGGGGAAGAGAGGAGCTGTTCTCTTGCTGCTCTATTGCTGCTATACTTCCCTAATTTAGGAGTACTCTGGAGAAGGAATGAATGTTCATCCCCATGTAGCCCCATGTAGGCATGAATTAGTTTTCTAACAGTATTACTGATTCCAGAATTAAGTTCCAGTCCCTTCCTTTTCCATTCCTCTAATCTTATATCCTCCATACATATATGCACACAAATATGGATGGACAAAATCTGCAGTATGTTATCCCTTACAGGCACAAGGACAGAATCAAAGGGTAATTATGTCTGCTTTCTCTGTTGCTTCTTAAACTCTTGGCCTAGGTTCTAAGCAAAAAGACTTCTCAAGATGCGTACTGATTTATACCAAGTATGAAATGCATTAAAATTCTGCTTTTAATTAATGCAAATTAGCTTTTAATGTGAAGAGAAGAAATATTGTAACTTCATTATGAATAACATGCAAGAACCCCTACCCTCTCCAGTCAAAGGAAATTTCTGAGGTTATAGCTTGGTGATACTGAAGTTCTATCCATTTTGATGTCTGATGTATGATTACTTTAACCGGATATATAATGTAATTATACCATTATGAGCATATTTAATTGGTATATTAAAATACATTTCAATTATAATTATTTCATTATAATTTAGCAGGACATGCAATTTAATACCTAATGTTATTTTCTCTTTCTCTTCTTCTCTTTTTTTCTCAGAACAAATTATGACATCGACATCTAAAGGAATTTTCCGGCCATTTTTTATTATCTTCATTGTCCTTGGTTGTTTCATGGCATTGATACTAATTTATATCAAACCAACAAATAGCTGGATCTCTAGTCCCATAGAATCAGCCAGTTCAGTTCTGAAAATGAAGAACTTTTTTTCTTCCAAAACTGATAATCTTAATGAAACTACTATTTTGATCTGGGTTTGGCCATTTGGTCAAACATTTGATCTAACATCCTGCCAAACAATGTTCAATATCCATGGGTGCCATCTGACTATAGACCGCTCACTATATAACAAATCCCATGCTGTTCTCATTCATCACAGGGATATTAGCTGGGATCTGACTAACTTACCTCAGCAAGCCAGGCCACCATTCCAGAAGTGGATTTGGATGAACTTGGAGTCTCCAACTCACACTCCACAAAAGAGTGGCATTGAACACCTCTTTAACCTGACCCTGACTTACCGGCGTGATTCAGATATTCAGGTGCCTTATGGCTTCATGATGGTCGGTACAAGTTCCTTTACATTTGAAGTGCCAAGTAAGGAAAACTTGGTCTGTTGGGTTGTAAGTAACTGGAACCCTGAGCATGCTCGAGTCAAGTATTACAATGAGCTTAGCAAATACATTGAAATCCACACTTATGGACAAGCCTTTGGAGACTATGTCAATGATAAAAACTTGATTCCAACTATCTCCACTTGCAAATTTTACCTTTCCTTTGAAAATTCAATCCACAAAGATTACATTACTGAGAAACTTTACAATGCTCTTCTGGCCGGATCAGTACCAGTTGTACTGGGCCCTTCCAGAGAAAACTATGAGAATTACATTCCAGCAGACTCTTTCATACATGTGGAAGATTTTCTCTCCCCCAGAGAGCTGGCAGAATACCTTCTGATGCTTGACAAAAATAACAAGATGTACCTTAGTTATTTCAACTGGAAGAAGGATTTCTCAGTGCACCTTCCTAGGTTCTGGGAATCACATGCATGTCTTGCTTGTGATCATGTGAAAAGACACCAGGAATACAAGTCTATTGGAAATTTAGAAAAATGGTTTTGGAATTAATTTGTGTGTGTATGTGTGTGCACTTTCTTGAAGAAGCCAGAAGAAACATCAGTGCAAGTGGAGAAGAAAGGAAAATTAAAAAATATAAAAATAAAAATAAAGAAGGAAAAGAGAACTTTATGTCATGGTTTAGCAGCTATCCTCTCTTGGCTATCCTATTTGTAAGACATTTTAAAAGATCATCATCAGCAGTCATCAATACTCAGTTTTAAATTATAATGTACATACTAATTATGTGCACTGAAGAATACTTGATTGTTTACCATGACTTTTAAACAAGATTTTCCACATTTTCTGTTAAATATGTCCCAGTCTTACACCTAAAGTAGTCATTTTTAACAGTGCTCTTTTTTTTAACATTACATTTTCTGTTTAACCTATCTGGAAAATGAGGACATAACTTTAAATGCCAGAGAGAACTTTAAGAACATAATTTGCTGTTCCAGTCCAAAACGTGTGTAATATTTCAAAAGACAGTAAAGTTTTTTATGGTTCATCTTACATTTTAAGAATACAGTAAAGTTCAATACCTACTGTTAGTCCAATATGATCAATTTCACCCCATTTTAAGGGTGAGGAACCTAGGAATATCATTTCTAAAAGGTATTACAGCAGTAGACAGTCTTTGTTTCTAAAAATACGATGTGTTCTAACAGATCTCTCCATTAAGTTATGTTAGGAATATGTCTGTTCTTACTCTTTGAAGAATAAAGTCAGATATAGAGAAGATGAACAACCTTAGTGTCCAAATCCCAGATTCATCCAATTTTTGAGTGTATTTAAATGCAGCATGTCCTTAAGTCTCATTGTGTCTCAAATATTGTTTACCTGAACCAGGGCTGTAAGTGGTGTTACACTGATACAGAGATAAACAGATTTTAGCATAGGTGTTCGATTACATTCGCCTCATACACTGAATTCAGCTGGTAGTAATGGATTTTTAGAAATTTTGAGAATTTTATCAATTTCTCTCATATAATTTCTCAAATAATTATGAATTTGTCCCCAGTTCTGCAAAGATCTGTTGAACTTTAATTGTGGCTGGACATCTTGCTGTTATGACAAATGAATGTGGAAAAAAAAAAATGACCAAAGAGTTTATTTTCTGGCAGAAATATGCTGAAATTCAGTAAGTAAGTTATCATCAGGCTGACACATTCAACCATTAAACTTATTAAGTTAATGAATTTTGGGTTTTGAAAATATTTTATGTGACAGGTATAAAAAAATGCTCTCAAGAGCCACAGTTGCTATCAAAATTTGAATATATAAATAGGTTCTTAAGCGTCAAGTTTTCTTTGATAGCAAATACAAAAATGTGATGATTGTCATGATTGTTTAAAATGTCTGCTTTTCTGTGATTTTATTACTTATTTGTTTCAGCTAAAACTTAAATATGTGATTGCTATATACATATTCATGTGTACAAGGTTGGTTTCATGACATAATGTACAGATGTGTTTTGGTATCAAGTGAAAGCTTGTTTTTTCAAGTCAAAATGTGTTACGAATCACATCTACTGGGAAAAAAAGAAAAAAGTTTAACTGGAAAAAGTTTAACTGGAAAAACACCAGCTTATGTGATGTATAAGACCCTGATCAAGCAAAGTAGTTGGTCATATATTTAATTAAACTTGCAGACAACATTGCTGAAGGAATAAAGGATAAACAATGATAAACATTTAGTAAAAGATAAGGTGATTTATCAGATTTTTTTTTTTTACCCCAGGTTGGAATAGAAATGCAGAAGGCTGTGAGATTGATGTAGTTAAATGTCTAAAACAGGAAACTCCACAGGAAGGTTATAGAAACACTTGTGCTCTCCCCATGGCTTCAAAAGTTGGATTCTGATCCGGATATTTATTTATACTATTTACTGCTGTCTTTAAAAGCTAGTCTGCAATATACTGTGAACCTCGTAAACTCACCAGCATTCCAATACAAAACAAGAGAGCTTACCTTGCAAATTAATGCAATATAATGAAAGCCAGACTTCTAAAAACAAAGTGCTGATGTGGATGTATATGTGAGTAGATGTGAGTAGTATTTCTATCATTTTAAAGCAAGTGGCTATTGCCTACAGCCTGTCCTATAGGATATCACACCTTTTGTTTTCAGGAGGACAGTGAAATCCTCAGTCACTGAATATGCCACTGCTTTGCCTGGATAATCTGATTCCCCTGATGCTGGAATTTGGAAGTTCTTTGCTTTGATCTCAGTGGAAGTACATTCACCCCTTGGTGAAAGTGCACAGTCCCTTATTTCATTCCTCATTTCAGATAATGGCAGTTGTTTTGATGTCACAAGGCCTTATGTCAAATCGGATTGGTTTCTTGGCATCAAGATTTAGCCAATAAATTATTTTATTGATAACAAGTAAGCACAATGATAAGATATATGACTTGTTACTAAAAATATCAATCAGTGTATGCACAGGAAAGCTTTGAAATACATGCTGATTTGTAAGCCTGTATGTAATGTCATTACCTCAGTAAGCACTGGATCCAGTCACCGTGGCTAATCTGAAATTTTAAGTAATCAAAAATCTTTTGATGGAACTGGAAAGAGAACTGTTCTGTTCACAGAAACTCCATACAAGGCTACTATACTTTGCCTTCAGGATGCATTGCTAAAATTGTTTCAAACATTAATAAAGCAGGAGAGAAATCTAATACAGATTGAAATGACCAAGAATCATGACCAAATTCTAAGCAAGAGACATGACCTTAGTGCCTCACTGACATTCTTGAAGAGTGTGGGCTGTAACATAAGTATGCCAGCCATTTTATGAAGATGTTAAGGTAATCTTCAGGTATCAAGCCTTAAGCAGTTCTGGATACAAACTGCTGACAGAAGATGGAGCATCTTAGGGCATGTCCAGCCTAGGTGGTAAATGATGTGGAGTGATGGATCTAAAACATCTGGACTCCTTGCATGCCTAAAGGCAGTCTACCTAGACCTATATGCCTAACTCACAGAAGATTGATTCCAGTCTAGATATAGAACATTAAGCGTTGTGATGTCTGTGCTTGTTCAGTGAGCTACCCTATGCGAACAGCCTAGCATAAATAGATTCAACTAGTAGATCACTGTGAAGGAGAATGGGCAATACCAATTAATTATGGATTAAAATATGTAATTAATATATGAAACTAATTAAAATAGAGAATAAGGTATTATTTATGCCTTGCTACCACTGGCAAAGAAGAGAGCTGTACAAGAAAAGATAAATGAAAGATAAGAAATCACACCAATTCTTACTATTTTCTCAACAAATTTATTTCAAGTATTCAGTTTATTTTATTTGCCAGTCCATAATAATCTTGTATATGCACTTGTCACAAGTTAACTCAGCAGTCACTGAAGACCGAGAGTCATTATTATTCTTCCTTTTATGACAACTTCTTTTGGATGTTTTTAGGCTCTCTTTCATGCACGGAGCTATCAACATTACTGCCTTTCTCAGTGTGGAAAGTAAGACGCAAATCAGATAAAACACTAACTGCAGATGCATTGCTACCGTGCTGAATGTGAACACACATCAGTCAGAGCTAGCAGCAGATCCTTCTAAAGCAGAGTTTTCATTTCATTTCACAGACACTCAGTGACCACAGTAGCTCTTGAGGTCTCTATTCCTTAGTGAAGCCTGGTTGCCAGTTTCTTTGAATACCTATTGCCATCCAAGATGTCTGTACTCATAATGAAGCAGCAGCCTGAGCGAGGCCCCCAGAATGTGCAAGACACATCCAGCAACATATTTGTCTCTTAAGAAACACATCAAATAAAACAAAAGTTAGACTGAGCAAGCATGAATGCGGGGATTTCTAGAGTTCATGCGGGCTAAGCGAGATATGTGAAATTGGCACTACTCAGCACAGTAAACAGCTACTTACTGTTTCTTGCTACTTATGTTTGTTTCTCAAACTGGGCTTTAAAAAAATCAACAACATAAGGTAATTTTCTAATCAAACAAGCTTCAGTTAAATAAACAACAACTGTTGATGATTATTCAAGGATGGGACTCCTGTTGGCCTTGTATTATCTCTTTTATTAAGACAAAAAAATAATATTCAGGGGAAGAGTGAAGTCTGTCAGCAAGCTATAATATATTTTTTATCTGATTTCAAGAATCCTTTTCTTTTTTGATTTTGAAGTAAATCTTCATGTCCTCATGTAACAAGACTTTCTGGACTTGATTCAAGAAAGACCTTCAGCACACACGCATGTGATCCTGAGACTCAAGCATGGGCTGAAATTTAAGAGCATCTTAAATGCTTTAATGCACTGGTGCTTCAAACCGTATGTTTTTATTGCCTTTGGAATTGTGCCAGAGAACACAGTCTATAGGCAACAGAGGCTGATTTGTGCAGCCTTTTTTGCATTATGTGTGTCCATTCTGTTAGTATACTGGCTGCTCCACACTGAAAACTCTTTGGACCAATTTTGTCCTAGAGTTTTTCCAATATACTTTGACCCTGCTCTGTTGCTTCAGCATATACGTGCCACCATTGCCTCATGCTATTCACTCAGCATGGCACTCCACTCAACTGCCTGTCTGTGCTACACAGGCTGAATGAACTTGCATGTCACGTAAGGAGCTGAGAGGAGTTGAGGCTCGCTGAGACAGTATTTCAAGGACCTGGTCATGTGGGCATTCTTTTACTCTGGACTGAGTGTGCCCTACAGAGGGTCAGTCCCAGCCATACCTGATTTTCCTTTTGGAGGAATATATTTGGTTCAGCCTAGATGGGACTCTGCGAGTGATCAACTGTGTGTGAAGAGTGGGAACAAGAGGTGTGTCTGCACAGGCTGACAAGGAGGCTTCTTACCTATTTAAACCTAACAGTGAAAGTTAATCAAATAGTCAAGTGTTTCCTTGGTCAAAACTAGTACATTACTGAGAAGAGAGTCCATGGAAAATATTTGTTTACCTACCAGTTGGTAGGCTTTTTCATTAATATTGGCTGACAGTTCTGGTTTGTTTGTTTGTTTGTTTTTAAT